CAGACTCCCCGCCGAGCAGGGAGCCCGATGCGGGACTCGATCCAGGGACTCCAGGATCATGACCTGAGCCGAAGGCAGTCGCTTAACCAACTGAACCACCCAGGCTCCCGTAACACTGCTTTTAAATATTCATTTCCTAGGTGGAAAAAATAGCTATGCATCATATTGGTTTATATGCTAAGCACTTAGAATATACTTATAAAAAAGAAAACCAAATGTATGTGTAGGTAATAATATGTATTCCAAAACAGGACTAGCTTCAATAATTTTTACTTTTCCTTCTAATTGACTTTTTAAAAAATAACCACTTTATTTTGGAGTAATTTTAGATTTGTAGAAAAGTTGCAAAGGTAGTACAGAGAAGTCCTGTATCTAACTGACTTAACTTTATCTACCTTTACTTTTTTATAAAATGAAATGTGATCTCAAAGCAGTTATGAAGATTAGTGAACATAAAGATTTTCTGAAGAAACACATGTTGGGTTCAAGATTAATATGGGGGAACGGGGGAATGATCACAGTATTTCTTCTTTTCCCTTCTTGAGTATACACTGAAATGGCAGCAAAGTAAGAAAGGTAATAGTGATCCATAGTAACAAAAAGAACAAGAGGAGATCACTGGGGACAAGATTCATTCATTCATTCAACAAAGAGTACTGAGTTCTCATTGTGTACCATGTAGGCACTGGCCTACTAGGGTGACCAGCTAGGCAAGGTCTATCTATTTTAGTGGATTTTAGATACTATTCAATGCTATCAAGGCAGAAAGGTGAAAGTGGGATGGGGAACTTCCCACTACTTTATACTTTATACTGTGATCACTGAGGTTCTCTCTGAAGAGGTAGTGTTTTGACTAAGATCTGAATGAAAAAAAAGAGACTGGCCATATGAAGACCTGATCTAGGCAGAGATACATAAGAACACTTTACTTTGGGAAGATGGAAGGCAGATGGAACAGCTTAGAGAAGGCCCCAGGCCACAGTATTATTGCTGAGTGTGAAGCAGGATTGTCTTGTACAACTCTGGGTAGAGGACCAGCTACAAAGTCTGTATTTTTTTTTTTTTTCCAAAGTCTGTGTTTTGAACAGTTGATTCTCCTTCTCCTGCTCCCCTCCGCTGCCCTGGAGCTACCAGGTACACAAAACTAGGGCCTGAAGTTGGAAGAATCTTCCCCTAAAGAATCTGAATGGCCTCCGGACAAAGGCTTGTGCATGCTAGCACTTGAGGATCCCTCCATTAATGGTAGTTCTCTGCTAGATCACCCTGAAATCTGCCACTCAATGAGCCCCATGATCTATGTACACAGAGTTCCCAAGTACTTTTCTGTAAGCTGATTCTTAAATACGAAGAGATAATTGAGGGTCAACAAATAGTGGAAGAACGCTTGCCACGTGGAAGGGAAAGACCAAGACATATAAATAAAAAGAGAGCCTATAAAGAAAACACACAATTATTCCAGCAACAGCAAATTACAAACAATTAAAAAGCACTGTTATCACCATCCTCACAGATAGTTGAGATGCTTTTTTTCCCATAAAATAATACAAAAAACTAATAGAGAATAAGTAGGGGTTCTTAGAGAAAAAAGACAAGGGCAGAAAAACATAATGAAAGTGGTATAAAGGATCAGCCTCAGGAGTCCAGTATCTGCCCACACTCAGCTTAGGAAAGAGAGACACAGAAAACAGAGAGGAGGAAATCAAAAACGAGTTTAAGAGTTTTCCACAGACATGGGATGTGGGATATGAACTTCATACTGAATGTGCCTACCAAGTGGCCAGCACATTACTGTGAAATATAAGGATAAGAAATCCTATTTGTTTTTGGAAAGAAAAACCACCCAGGTAATCCACCAAGGAATGAGTACAAGACTGGCATGAATCTTCATTAGCAACACTCATGCTACAAGACAATGGAAGAGCATCATCAAATACTGAGGGAAAGTTATTTTGTACTTAGAATTTTAAACCTGGCCAAACTGCATGATATAGGAAGACACAGGCATTTTTCAGAAATACAAGAACTAGAAAATTTACCTCCAAGACACCCTTCCAAAGCAAGCTGAGAATATGCTATAGCAAAATAATAAAGCCCAGAAGGAAATATATCCAACTCAGAGGATTTAAAAAAAAAAAAAAAAAAAAAAAAGCCAGGATGAAAATCAATCCAGAATACAGCATAGCATAGAAGATTTCAGGATGGAGTTAACCAAGAAAAACAAAAGCAGACCCAATAGCATTCTGGAGAACACAGAACAAGTTAGGTAAGCAGTAAAGACATACAACAAAGGGAAAAAGAAAAGAAAAGCACATAAGAAAATTACACGATGATAAAATTCAATGAAATAAAATGAGGCAGAATAAAGATGTCAGTAATGGTAAAGATGTGGTAAAAGAACTGTGGTAGTTGAGCACTGAATCTGTTACAATATATAATCTGAGTATAAACTGTGGGAATTATGGTTTGTAAATAGAAAATAAATGTCGTAAACATCAACAAAGTAGTAATAATAATGACAATGATATTTCTAACATAGCTTATAAATTGAGAGGTCAGTGGGGAAGAAGTAAAAGAGTACTAATTTCCTAATTCTTCAGAGTAGGGAGGTAATCAACATAATCAAAAATTGAAAAGTGAATTAAAGATACTCTAAACTTCTACTTTTTTCCATAATTTTTTCTCCTTAACTCCAAGGGGATCTTTTAGAAGTAAATATTTCTTTTGGTGAAAGAAACATTTGTCTGAAGTTTAATGGTTTTGAAATTTTACCATGCTTATTTCTCTTTTCAAGTAAAATTTAAAATACATTTTTACTTAGAATGCACAGTGTGATCCCATATATTTAAAAAGTTTTAAAGTATCTATTTATCTATCAGAAAGAGATGGCTAGAATATTACATTCCTAATGCTAATAATGGTGTTTCTATGTAGTGGAATTTTAGGATAGTTTTTGTTCTTACTTTTATAATTTTCTGTATTATTTGACTTAATATATAGAAATATGTATATTTCACAATAACAAAGCCACTTTAAAAATGTCATGGAATTTTAATTAGTTCTACTCACCAATAGCTTTGGTATAATGTCTCGCTCCAAGAAGTAATTCTGGGGCTCGGTACCAGAATGTTACGACTACTGGATCCAAATCTGCTAAAGGCTTCAAAGGTGAATTAAATAATCGGGCAAAGCCCATATCAGCTATAAAAAAAAGATAATAATAATGTTAAGTCAATAGATTTTTACAAATTTAGTTGATTAATTTTACCACTGATATTTAGTAAGATGGGGAAAATGTGCTGAATTCTTCACCTGGGTTATAGATATGCTTGCTGCCAGAGGTCAAGGGTGACCCTACACCCCTGGGCAGATTTCTTTCTGCCTGTCTCGGGACAGGGTTGTTAAGCTGCATGTCCATTCTTTTTGTATTGGTCACAAGCACTGAGAAACTAGATCAGTTACAGTAAGGCTTTCCATTATATGCATCAATAAGCCTGATCACTGGGGTAATCAGAAGTTGACTATACAGTATGTTAACACCACTATCTGCCCCCTCCCCATTTATTTGGGTTGAATTTTATTAACTTAACTTTAAAGAATCATAGTAATTTTTTTAAGCTGGAAAAGACCTTTTAAAAGGTCATATAGTTCAATCACCTCCGTTTTCAGGAGGAAAAAAAAATTTTCAAAAGAAGAAATTAAATGATTTGACAAATGTCATAAACTCCTAGCTCACAACTGGAGCTGTGGCATTTGACACAGTTTAATATGTAGTGTAGTTATTCAGACTGTTTATCCTATTAAACTGTAATCTTAAAGGCAAAACTGTCTTTTTTCATCTCTTTTAGTATCTATCTAGTGTCATTATACATAGCTTTTATCAAATACACATCGAATGAACAATCACCTATTCATACCACCTATCAAAAATTTCAAGATTCATCCACCTTTTGTTTGGTTTTGCTCTCCTAATATACATTTTTAATGAAGTAGGCCCTCGTCTAACCTACTTAATTAAGGAGGTTAAAAAAAAACAAACACACAGAAATTTGGTAAAGAATTAAAACCATGACTCAGATTACTAAATACTGGTTTACAGAAGAACTAATGTATCTTCTTAAATGTGAATGCTTTAAGCCTTTAGTATCCCCCCAAACCTGCTAACATCATGTGCATTACATGTAAGTCCAAACTAGATTAGTTTGTTATATAAAATTTCCCCAAATCTTAATAAAAAACATGTCTGTAACCACTGTTCGGCTGGGTCTTTTCTATTCTGCACACTTTGAACTTACATTTGAACTTGATGCAACCAAACTGGACTTTTCAAAACAAAGTAAGGACTTAACAGGCATTTGGTGACTATAGACTAGGTACTGACAGGGCCTGGCTCTCAAAGGGAGTCAATGACTAGGAGTACTTTGAGGTACATCAAATGTTTATGACACTAAAAAATTTGTGAGGTTTGTACGATAAAAGAGTATTCTGAGAGTCTAATTAAAAGTGGAAAGTGAGATGGGGAATTTATAGAGGAAGAAAGGGAAGAAGGGTTAAGAACACTTAGGTTTTTCTTTGTTGGTTAAGTGGTACAAATTAGCTGATAATTTGAATTTATATTAAATGTTGCAATCAGAAATTACTCTTTACTTTTTTTTATAAACTCCCACAATCCTGCTGCCTTTAAATTAACATAATTTAGTTACAACATTTCTTCTACCCACACACAAAACAAACTAAATAAATGTGACAAACACAACTTAGAAATGACAATGAAAAAAACCAGTTAGAATAAATTCAGTTTTATCCTTACAGGTACCAGACCAGAACTGGGTAAAATTTTGCTCTGATATATAAGAAAACAGAGCTATTACAAAACATGCCAAGGTACAGAATGCTTGTTACTTTCTTTTCCCATCAGGTAGAGGCCTTCTATAACACAGGCTCATTTGTTCTATACCTGTCCAGCCTCAGCGGTTTTCCTAGTTTGTAATTCCTAATGTTGAAAGGTCAACAGAGGCAAATGTTCTGATCGCATCCGGCTCAGGTGAACAGAACTGATGCTATAATTACGAGTATGCTATATGCCCTTGCGACTAAAGGTGAGGCTGGCTTTTAACATGGATAGAAGCTACTCACCTCCATAGGCTATTTTTAATGAAGGCAAAGGTTTCTAAGAAACTTCCATGGCTTATTTTATAATTAGAACACTTCAATCTCTAAAGATTGTTTGACACCTTTTAAGAGTGTGAAACATTTTTCACTTTTAATGTAAACTCTTTAGAAATGGCTTTGATCAGAAGGAACTACATGAATATACACATATTAATACAGCAAAAGTTAGAAGTGATACTGCTGACTGCAGAAGGTTTAAAAGAGTGCTACACTGTGACTTATCAAAGATAAAACATACCAATCTTTACTCTTCCTCGCTCAGGACCTTCACCCATAACTAAAATATTAGCAGGTTTCTGTGGAAACAAAATAGTGTTTTTTTTTTCAGTAGACAGTAGTGTGGTTTCTTTTAAATAGACATTATGCCAATATAACATATCCACCTTTACAAAATCTCATTTACTCAAAAATTAAAATCAAACACAGGAAGTCACCAAAGAAACTTTATGTATATATATGCAAAGCAATATGCAAACCTCATGAAGTCCCAAATATGACAGTGCTTTTCTCCAGGTAGAGCAAATAAGGCTTTTCTTGGCTTATTTAGCCAAGTCTGTGTTCACTGTGGAGCATCTGACAGGAAGTTATAATGTTGTGGTTCCTTCCAACTCTTTCAATTATAATAAAATATCCTGCAACTTTAAGGGAAAATGTATCTTCAAAGATGACTTAATTCTAAATAGCAAAGGAAGGAGACACCGGGTATCTTTTTTTTTTTGGAAATGGCAAAGTATGCACCTATGTCTAAACAAATAAATTACAGAGAATCAATTTACTAAAGTCTTTTCTAAATGAATTAGTGAAGAGGAATTTTCTATGACCTGAACAGTTTTGAGATTTTTATGTTTAAATAAAAAGAGAAGCTAAAACTTAAAGTGAGATTTTACAGAAGTAAAATTTCAAACAGTGTTAAAGTCCCTAAAAATATACAGGATTAACTATCATCTACAATCTGCTATAGCGGTATCTACTACGTTGACATGTGAGATTTGTGCCCTCATCAGCAAGAAGGAAGAAGAGGGGAAGAAGGAAGATAAGGGGGTAGGATGGACAGAGAGGAAAGGGTGGGGGAGAGCAACCCCCAAACCTTTCTCACCCTGCTACCCTGTCTACTTGGTCTTTAATTCTACCAGTCTGCTAAATAACAGTGAAACTAGATTAGAACGCCCTTCAAGTACAGATTGAAGCAACCTTAAAATTAAAGATTTTAATGAAGGCTGTTTACAGTGGAAACTAGTTCATAGGCTTCCCAAACCATATTTAGTAATAGCCCCCATGCTAAAATGTAACTTACAGTATATTATTCTATCAACTACTACAGATCAAAAAAAATTTTTTTATCCCTAGCAAAAAGAAAAGAATTGCTGAAACGGTAGAGGTTCCTACATTTTTCAAGGTGAAGAAACTAGGCACGAGAGATTAAATGACTCGCCCTATAAGACTGGGCAGCAGCAGCAGAATCTACCCCACGGCTTAAGTCTAGTGCTCCCTTCCTAATATACCATTTTGAAAGTAACTTTATGTAGCAAGTTTTTCAATTAATGTATACACCATAATAACAATAATTCATTCAAGAAAAAGTTTTCAGAACCTCTATCATTACTACACACACACACACACACACACACACACACACACACTCCGGACCACTGGAATAACCGGCAAAGTACCTAAAGAAGTACAGTATTAACACTATTCCCTGTGCACTATCTGCAAGTGCTGCCTAGCACAAGTAAAACTGCTTTCATGCACTGTGTTAATTAGTCACCAGTGGGTTAGACTCTGCAGAGACTCTCGGAGCTCAGCCTACTTCAAAATGAAATCAGATCTCTGAAACTAGCATAAAATATTGAAGGCAGAGGAGGGCTTTCCAAGAGGAATCAGGCAGCATTTCTATCTGGCTGAGGAGCAAGGCTTGCTCTCAACTACCAATATGGACTCAGGAAGAAACTTCTATGTCTGTGCTAGAACTCTCTTCTTTTGGTCCACTGGGGCAGAAATCCCTAAACATCTCTTGAACACATTCCCTACCCTTTACCCCATTATGATTCATTTTCCATCCAATCCATCTCTGTACTGTTGCCAGGGTAACCTTTCTAAAAGACAAAGCTGATCATATCACTCCCTTGCTTAAAATCTTCCATAGTAGTATCATGGAAAATTCTTATAAGATTGGGTGAAAACAGAACACAAAATAATATATAGGGGCACCTGGGTGGCTCAGTCGTTAATAAGCATCTGCCTTCGGCTCGGGTCATGATCTCGGGGTCCTGGGATCGAGCCCTGCTTTGGGCTCCCTGCTCCGCGGGGAAGCCTGCTTCTCCCTCTCCCACTCCCCCTGCTTGTGTTCCTGTTCTCGCTGTGTCCCTCTCTGTCAGATAAATAGATAAAATCTTCAAAAAAAAAAAAAAGATATATAGACTGTGATTACAAATAGGTTAAAAAAAGTACGATGGGTAAAGACTAGAACAAAAAGAGTAGTGACAGTGGTATGCATGAACCTTTCCAAAAATGTCTTTGAATGCTTTTGCTATGCTTTATTATTACTAAAATATTATTTCTACTTTAACTAGTCTCTCACCACTTGTGAATAAGATCCAAAGTCCTTATGAGGGGATGCAAGGCACCCGCAAGCTCATTCCCATCAATCTGTCCTGCCCCACCTGCCACAGCCCACACTGCTCCTGCCATACTGGTTTTCAGTGTCCTGTGACTAGAGCTTTCAGATCTAGGTCATTGCTATCCCATTATTTCTGCCCTCAAAGACCCTTCCTCTGTGTTATTTGGCAAAATCTGATTCTTTGCCCCCCTACTTGATGACATAAATAACACATGAATACATTCCAATTATAAACAATTCAAACTATAAAGTCACATACAATTAAAAGTTAAAGACCCTTTCACCACCCATTGCTCCTCCACCATGTCCCAATCCCACTCCCTCCTCCAGAGGTGCAAAGTGATTAACTGGTTTGCTGTGATGGACTTTTCCAGCACTTAAGTGCTCAATCCTAAAATTTTCTCTCTGGATCTGGCAAGAGCAGAGCACAACATTGACATCTCTCTCCTCCTTTTATTTTAGATGGAGTGGAAAATCTCTCTCCTTTTTTGCTTTCTTACTCATTCAGCAGCTGGGCCTATTCATGAGAAGCCTTGGGGTGAGTGGTACTGGTCAGCCTACTATAAGGTAAAGGGGGAGAAACTCCCTCTCTTGTTCTTCATTTTGTTCGAGACTTATCAGACTGTCAAGTTCCAAACCGGGGTTTTAGCACTGGTTGGGGGAATAAACAGTTTCTCTGTCAAGGATTTGGGGCCAAAGCTCTAGTTAATAGTTAAAAATCACTTTTCTAGGCAAATTGCTGCCTATTGTATGATCTGAAGCAGGTCTTGGGGCTAAAAGCCATTACCATCACTACTTTTGTAAGTGAACTTAAGATTCAGTTTGGGCATGCTGTATAGTCACAAACAAAGAACAGTGCTGTGTTGTTTCAATAACACTACTATGAACGATGGGTCCCTCCTCATGTTATTTTTATGGTAACATTCTATATGCCCCAGGTACGATACTCTGATTTAGTAGAGTAACACTATGTCTAACACTAAATTTCTTTAGCGAATGCAATCTAAAGGAAGTCTCAAGAGAAGAAGGCAGAAAGGCCCTAACGATCATGAATACTCTTGTATTTGTCTTGTTGCTTAACCAATATTAAGGAAGGCTTCAAAGACTTGATAATTTTTCCTTTAGTACTTAATGCCATGCTGAAACAGTATTCTCCAAAAAAGCTACTTTCTTTTCTTTCTCTTTTCTTTGTCTAGTAGTAGAATTTGGTAGTTTTTAGCTCTAGAGCCAAAACTTCCATTTGTTAGTGACAGTACATGAATCAATTAGTAATAACCATAACTGTGGTAAATAGTCTGTGATCTTTTATATGCTATCCAACATAACCACTTTGAAAGAACATATAAAAGTTTACATTTTAATGAGGCATACACTCCATTAACTATCTTTCTGCTTATGGAGATCAGAGGTCCAACATGACTTAAAGTATTATTACATCATAGCAACATCTTCAAATATGGCTATGCTATGCAAAGACATGATTACAGAACACCTTTTATTGCCTGCTGAACAATGAAATAAATCAACCAAACACTTGTGTGAAGTAGATTTGTTTGAAACTATGATATCCTTCCCTTATTGCTGTTCTGTTTCTCCCAGAAAAAAAAAAATGTGTTTGTAATTAAAAGAACATGTCCTTGTTTTTTATTACAGGCTCATGGCTTATTTTGCTTCCTGTTGTTATGCTCCCCAAAAAACTCACTGATATTTCCTAAAGCAAGATGTTTGTATTGCAGAGAAAACCATTCATGTAGAGGTTTTCTGTCCTCTAGAATTTGTCATGCTGTGGAATAGTACACGGATGCCTTTGGCATACAGCAGAGATGGCGAATTGGTTTCATTTAAGGGGTCAATCCTGATTTAAAAAAAAAAAAAGGTAAGGACTTTAGGGAGCTCTGTCTTGAGAAAGACAGGAATTGGGCTGACCAGAAACCACCATTATCGATCAGAGGCATCTGACAAAGGTGCAGAAGTGAAGGATGGCTGATCTGTCCAGGTAACTGCCAAGACCTTCTTATTCTAGGGGTGAAAATGGGGCCTTCATATGTGCACTAAGGTGTCAAGGCAAAATGGAGACTTTGAGACAACACGAAAATTTCATTCTTGATGGATCTATGAAAAAAAATAGCAATCCATAAGAAACCATTGTTAGGGGGTGCCTGCGTGGCTCAGTAAGCATCTGCCTTCAGCTCAGGTCATGATCCCGGGGTCCTGGGATCGAGCCCCACGTCAGGTTCCCTGCTCAGCAGGAAGCCTGCTTCTCCATCTAACTCTGCTCCCCTGCTCCTGCTCTCTATCTCAATAAATAAAAGCTTAAAAAAAAAAAAAAAGAAACCACTGTTAGTGCTGTACTCTAAGATTTATTCAGAATTTAACCTTCACAAACATTGTAAACAACACAACCCAGTGGCACATTTTTTAGATAACTCAAAAACTTTCAGTTTGGTTGTTAATCATTATGTACTACAATACATGCTGACAAAATTAACTCTGATATATACACATGAGCAGCAAAGTCTTAGTAGACATATACTCAGTAATTTAAAAAATTGTTTTAATGATGGGGCACCTGGGTGGCTCAGTTAGTTAAGTGTCTGCCTTCAGCTCAGGTCATGATCCCAGGGTCCTGGGATTGAGCCCCGCCATCAGGCTCCCTGCTCAGCGGGAGTCTGCTTC